TTAGGTGGTTTTTCCAGCCCAGGCACCTCCAAGCTCCCCACCCCCCCAGTGCTCTGCACATGCCGCATGCCCTTGCCCACCACCCACCAGCAGCCACCCCACTGTCCAGTCAGGGCATTAATGCAGGGGCCTGGGGGGCCCAGGCCTAGGGATAACTGCCAATCCGGTCCCCCTGGGGGCAGGGGCAGGGCCCTGGGCCGGGTCTACCTTGCTCCCCAGCCTGCAGGGGTAAGTCCTGCAAAGCACTCAAGCTCCATCCGTGTTAAATGCTGAGAGACAGGGCCACACAAGGGGCTCACTGCAACAGTGATGATGGTGGAGGAGCCCCTCTGGCATTGCAAGGGTACTCTGGAGCCAGAGTTGCTGTGGCAGTGAAGGGAGAGGCCTCTCCCTGCCCCCAAGAGATGAAGAGCAGGAGCTAATAGCTGCAGTCCCCAGGTCCAGCCCGGCAGCACCCTCTACTGGAGATGGGCCTGGCAGGAGGGGCCATTGTTCTGACCTTGCACGGCATGTCTTGGGTTTTTAATACGTAATCACTCTTCAAATAAAACTTTGTGGAGAAGAAATTCCCTTTAGAGTATCTTGAAAGGGCAAGTTGTGAAATGAAGATGAGGGAAAGTTTACCCTCAAATGTTTTCTTTGTGAGAAACAGAGACTCGATTAGATTCGTATCTACTCCAGGAGACTTGGATTTCTGTTATTTCCATTGCTTGTTTCCATTTTTCCAAGTGTTATATAAAGCTCTAGAACACAATTGGATGTTAGTGTAAGGAAGCTTATACAAAGCACAAAGAAAAGGGGGAAAAAAGCAGGCAGTAAGAGTTCTGGCTGTGGACCAGAGCTGCCTATTGCAGCAGTTGGGAGGGGCAAGGTGGGGACAGAGGAGATAAGGAGCAATGCAGTGTGGGATGCCTGCAGGACCAACAAGACCCATGTCATAGGGATCCATGTGTAATACTGAACCAGTGCACTGTGAACAAGTTCAAGAACATCTGATTCTTCGGGTACACTTTGAACCATTCCAGGTGGCTTTAAATGAGTTTAAAGGGCTTCTATGCCTGTCCATTTCTGATTTAAATCATATTAAAACTGGTCTAAATGTTATGCGTATCCGTGCCTCAGTAAAGCTCACAGCAAGCTGCATTTTCTTTGCTTTCCCCTGGTGTGTTGGGGGGTGGGAGAGAGGGTGGAAACAGTCCAAAAAGTGTTATCAACCCAAAAGTGGGACAATGGGCTTGGTCTACAGGGTCCCAGAATAAAAGGCTTTGTCCAGGGAGAAACCCAACCTCTATTTTTAGCTTGAAAGGAGCAAAGTGTGGAGACAGAGTAATTTAAGGACGAGCAAATTCTGGAAAAGCAAAGGAGACAGAGAGTAGGGTCTATTTTTAGGAAACGACTGTCTTGTCCTATTTTTATCCTAGTCACATTTCTAGAAGGCTCACGTAAGCCAGGGGTGCATAAGCAAAAGTAGTTAATTTTAACTCACCCAGCAGACGACTGACATGGACTATGCACAAAAGCCAGAGCAACTGGAATGTGAGGCAGAACAAGTTGCCGACACGGTTCTAGAGATTGGAGAAAGACTTTTTCAGGTCTGCCGTAGAGCATTGTCACTTCACAGTAGGTATTTTGAAGCAATGTTTTTTGGAGGCACTAGAGAGAGCTCTGAACGTCACATAGTAATCAGAGGAGTCGATGCAAAGCCTTTCCAAGTACTTCTTGAGTTCACTTGCACAGCCAAGGTGCTCATAACTCAGCACAATGTTACCAGCTTACTAGAAACAGCCGATTTCCTTCAGTTTGACAGTGTGAAAAAGTTGTGTGAAAAGTTTCTGGAGAGGGAGCTGCGTGTTTCCAACTGCCTGAATCTGATGGCCTATGCTCAGCAGTTTTTCTGCCCAGAGCTTTATGCATCAGCTGTCAGCGTTGCTCTCACTCACTGGAAAGATGTGATGACTCAGGAAGAATTTAAGGAGCTTTCCAAAGAAACACTGATGCAGCTCCTGCAAAGTGACGACCTCTTTGTTCCTCAAGAGGATTTGGTTTTTGACAGTGTGGTGAAATGGATAATGGAGGACCCAGCAACAAGGGAGGAAGACTTCTTGGATTTAGTAGGACAGGTCCGAGTCACCTTTGTGAGTCTTTCCTTTCTTGATATCTTGGTGAAACGCAGCAAACACCCGGGAGAGAAAGACACTTTTTCCAGGCTGATAAAGAAGTTAGACAGCTGCCCTCCACCTAGCTGGCAGAGTGTGAAACTGTTTCCTTACACTAGCAGGAAATACGACAATTTATATGTTCTGGGAGGAAAGCATGATGAAGAGAAGCAAGAACTGTTTCTATTTCAACCTAAAACAAACACCTGGCAACCTCGCTCTCCACTACAGCGCAGAAATCTCACGCAGTATGCAGTGGCAGCATTAGGTAACTCCCTGGGATGTATGTGTAGCCAGGAGAACCCACAACAGCAGATGGCTCAGTGGTTGCTAACAAACAAAATTTTCCATAGCCCCCCTGACTCTTCCCAGCACTGCCACTGCCGCATGGCCCAAGGGCCGTGTGGCCAAACAGCCAAGCTGGGAAGAGCCTGGCACTGCCCTGCCCCC